GAGGCGGTGATGGACCAGCTGGAGGCCGCATTGGCGAACCTGCCGAAAGAACAACCGAGACGCAAGGCGAGGAAGGGAACGGACGAGGTAAGGAACCCCGGATACAGACCTCGTTGCACTCTCCAGGCGGCCGCCAATTGGCGGAGAAGGAAAAAAAAGAAGGAGAACGCTCGGGGAGCAGCTTGTGGCTGACTTGCAGTAGATGCAGCAGGATGCCCTGGCCGAGGAGGCTGCGGCCGACGACTCGGGCATCACGGTCGAGCAGGCGGCGCGGGAGCTCGAGGAGGCAGCCAAGGCCAGCGCCGGGCCCGGCATGAAGGACGGCCTGACGCCGAGCCAGATGGAGCACCTGTACCGCGAGGGCTCGATCCCGCCCACCGTGTCCGACGGCGACGCCCAGCGTGACCTCGAGGTGCTCGCGTCCGGCGGCCTGCTGGCCGACTCGGCGGCCGCCGACGTGCTCGGCACCGACGAGAAGGGCCGGTCCTACAAGTACCCGCTGCCCGCGCCCCTGCCGGAGAACAGCAAGCTGCAAGCCCGGTATCACCCTGTGCTGGAGCAGCTGACGAACGTCATGATGAGGCACGGCAAGAAGAGCGTCGCGCAAAGGGTGAGTCCTCCCCCCCAGCACAACAAGCCGAGCTATAAGCCGAGCTATAAGCCGAGCTACAAGGGGCGCATGAATATTTGACAAAAACATAAAAGACATGTCACTAACGCGTGCACCCTCCTCCGCAGAACATGGCCATGATCCTCAACTACCTCCGCACGGCGCCGGCCCCGATCCTCAGCACCAAGAACCCCCTCATGGCGGGCCACCCGCCGGCCTCGCACTTCCCCTTCAACCCCGTCATGTACCTGACCATCGTCATTGACAGCGTGGCGCCCCTCGTCAAGGTCCGGTACATCCCCGGCGCCGCGGGCGGCGGCCGCCCCCTCGAGATGCCCGGCCCGCTCGCCGTGCGACAGCGCCGCCGCATGGCGTTCCAGTGGATCCTCGACGCCGTCGCCAAGAAGAGGTCGACGGGCAGCGGCCGGACGCAGCTCGCGCACCGCATCGCCAACGAGATCATCGCCATTGCCGAGGGTCGGTCCGGCGTCTGGGAGAAGCGGATCGCCGTGCACAAGCTCGCCACGGCGACGCGAGCCAACCTGGGGGCGCAATTGGTCAAGAACATAGTCGGTAGGAAGTTCTGAGGGAGTTTTCTCTCTGCCGAGAGGAGGGAAGGCTGCATGGGGCGGAAGCCGTGGGGGGCCGCTGGCGAGCCGGCCGGCTCTGGGGCTGGCCGTTGTAACAAAATGTTTCCGTGTATCTGTTGTACTATACCGGCTGTACAGATGGGCTTCCAATGATGAGAAGCATGTGCCATGTCACTTCGGGTTCGTGTAGTTTGGTGATGAACGACGTGCCTAGATGGTACGCTCCCTTGCCCTTCGGTGACGGGTTTGCCCAGAGAAGGTGGGAGCAGGCTACTAACTTCAGCATGCTATGTTGTTTGTAGCCATTGGCTAGGGGCCTCCTGTTTTGCCAGAGTACTGAAGCGACACTTCATCCGCCAACTTTGGTGACCAGACTGTTGCCGTGTTGGCTCCATCCGTCTTTCATCGCCTCAACAGCATGCCATCTCCATTTCACATCCACGGCGTCCCCGCTGCTCCATGGTGCAGCCGATGTGATGCTATCTATTTTGCACGTCTGAGTACTCCATGCTGCCTGGGAGTCAGCTGGGAGTCAGGGTGCTAGGCGGGGCGTGTGACGGCCACTCTCCGGCGCATCCGTGGGCGACTTGCAGCGCAGGGGCGTAGACTGATGTCCAAGGCCGACGAGACCCGTCCTAGACAGAGCACGTATAAAGAAATGCGAGAGAACGGAGCCGTGCAAATATTGCAGGCAACTCTCATGGGAACGCGGTGAACCTCTGCTATGGCAGAACGTCAAGTCGCCCATGTCCAGAGCTTAAGGAAATGATTCAGTGTATAGCATTGGACAAAGTTGTGTCAGATTGCTGCGTACTTACGATTGGCTGTGTTTATCCTGACAAGCGCCAACGATGAGGAGCCCGGCGACTGTTAAGCATATTTTTGGTGTGCCAAATCCTTGGGTCAGGACACCATCCTTTTCATGACACCATACACGTAGCGACCACTTCATGCCTGAATAGTTAAAATCGGATTGGTAAAGGTAGATGGCATTCCTATAATGAGGAGCCATCGTAAACACGACGGGCACTTCCCGGCAGCCACGATCAGGCAGCTTCGTGACATTTTGGCTCCTGAGCATGCCCCGACGCTTCGCAGGACCTCGAGTGGGCCACAATGTGTCAATGCGTTCGATCTCTTTCGTTCCGACGGGATCCAGACCTGGAGCCAAGCCTTGTCACGACGCCTCCAAGTCATGGCCGGACGTGTCGGCTCACCGTGGCATGCCGGCAGCGATGTCGGCCTCGCCTCGCATTTTGTTCCTGGCATGAGCAGCCGGGGCTAGTGCAGGTCCGAGAGGGGGCGTTCTTCGTCACGAGAAGCGCGTTATTGGATCGCTCCTCATGGCGTGCCCCGGCAGCCCCTCTGGGTCGGGGTCCTGATGAAATTTTATCAGATGATCTGATAAGATTAGATGCATCGCGGCAAGTTAATTGGTGGTCTGGTACATGGGTATCCACCCAGTTCACGATGCCCTGGCTGTCTTGGCAATCAGATAACTCAGTCTCTAGATATGCATACCGTCGGCCGAATGGCCAAGTTCTACGAGTCGGCGGCCTTGGCTCTCTTCGCGTGGCAACTTGAGCCGGGCTGGCCTTGCAAGGCCTGAATCTCTGGTGCAGCCATATAATCCCTCGCCCTACCCAAGTGGTTTACAAAGGTTCTGCTGCCCTCTATCCTCTCGCTCGCTACGTTGTCTGCTTTGGCGCGCTTCTGATCCTGGATTGTGTCCTCTCGTTCCTTCGTTCACTGAACCCCATACCCAGTCAGGATGCGTTCGTTCGTTGCCTCTGCCCTGCTCGTCTCGAGCTCCGTGGCTGCCGCCTCGGCTTCCCTGGCTCCCCGCTGGGACTGGCCCGACGCCATGCCCATCGAGGCTCGCCAGGAACCCGGCACCCCTCGCTTCCAGTGCCACGAGGACTGCGGTAAGCAGAAAGCACTCGAGGCCTGGCTCGCGAGACCGGCCTGCTGCGAAACCCTCCCCGACTGACATTTCCAGGCACCACCATCTCGCTTAGCCGTGTCGAGGGCTACTGCACCAACGCCGAGTGGCGCGGCCGCTACGATGCGTGCATGATCTGCGCCAACACTGAGGGCATCTGGCAATTTTACCGCAACGCCATCACGCCGGCCGCCGCCGCCTGCGGTCTCACGGCCGAGCCGTCGCCCAGCGGTTGGGTGCCGACGCCCACGTCCACGGAGGCTCCAGCCCAGCCCAGCAGCGAGGCGCCCGTTGTGCCGCCCCAGCAGCGCCCCTGCTCCGTTGACCCGGTCAGCAGCGCCCCTGCTCCCCGTTGACCCTGTCAGCAGCGTCCCCGCTCCCGTCGATCCCGTCAGCAGCGCCCCTGCTCCTGTCGATCCCGTCAGCAGCGCCCCCGCCCCCGTCGACCCCACGAGCACCGCCGCCTCTGCCGTGACCAGCGCCGCCTCTGCCGTGACCAGCGCCGCCTCTGCCGTGACCAGCGCCGCCCCTTCTGCCGAGCAGCCCAGCGTCATCGTCCCCACCCCCGGGTCCTCGGCTGCCGGCGTTCCCGCAAGCAGCCTCATCAGCTCGGCTGCCGCTGGCAAGCCGACCTCTTCTGCCGTCGAGCACCCCGTCAGCAGCGGCGCTCCCTACCCCGTGGAGACGCACTCCCACGCGAACGGAACGGCCGCCCACACCAGCACGGAGCCCTGCGAGACGGACGCCAACGGCGTGCCCACGGGCCAGGGCAAGCCCACGACGCTCGTCACGAAGACGACCGAAGTGCCCGGCCACGTCGTCGTGCCGACCACGTCTGCCGACGCTCCTGTGCAGCCCGCGCCCCCCGCGCAGACGCCCGGCACCGGCTCGCCTTCCCACGTTGCCACGGCGCCCGTCGTTGTCGAGAGCGCCGATGCCACGGACGGCTCGGTGGTGAGTTTCAATCGTCAAGGTCTGGAATTTGCGGACGAGTTTGCTGATCTGTGATTGCTAGCCTGTGCCTTCTGTTGTCGAGGTTAGCGGAGCCGGCAGGACGGTTGGATCGGCGATTGCTGCTGGTGTTGCTGCCATTGTGGCGGTTGCTGCTCTCTAGATAGGAAGTGCGTGGTCAGTCGATCATTATGCACGATGACACCATGGCATGAGTTGATGGAAGGTGGTGTGTATGTATATTCATGTCAATAATTTTCTGACGTTGCTCGTTTGAATTGATGACGTGAATCGGAATGAGCTGTGATCCAGGCTTGCCAGGCAGACGATATGGAGTGGCACTGTCACGTGTCAGTGTCTGTATGTTCGGATGTCTTCCGACGACTCGACCAGAGCTTCCACTTTGTGACTGCGCCTGCGCTCCTACAGTACCTCTAGTGTATGGCTCGACATGTCCGATCCTTGTCTGACACGGAGCAGATCGAGAGTCGAGACGCAGGCTAGCGTAAGGCCGCCCGCGTGAGCCTCCCTCCATTCCAGAGCGCCGGCTGCGTCTGGGTGAGAGGCTCGTCCGAGGTCGTAAGGGGGCAAGTAGGACACCTTGTTACCCCTAGAGATACATGTAGGTACCTGTGCACTGCAAACTGCCAGCGAGACAGAGGTACCTTTCGGGGTCCTCGCCTCTGTGAAGCTGCTGCATTCAGATCAGCCCATCCACGTGGAAACGGCCTGCGCCAAGACTGAGGCAGAGACAGACACGAGAGAGAGAGAAACCCGCAGACCACGTCGTGTTCGTCTGGATGCATTGTGATTTGTACTTTTCTCTCGGGCGACTGGCGCCTGTTGCCTGTTTTTGCACAGCCCTGTCGTTGTCGGAGGGGAGAGGCGAACGAAGGGTGCGTGTGACTCTTCATCGACGGAAGCGCTGTAGCGTCCTTGTCTACAGCGCTTGACGCAGCGGGCGGTGCCCCCGTGGATCGTCATGGAGGTCCCCGAGCCCAGAGAGAGAGAGAGACAGAGAGGAGGGGGGGCGGGCAAGAGTGGGCACGGGCAGGCAGGCAGTACCTGAGCAGCAGGGCTAACCCAAGAACGTGCAAGAGCGGCTGTTCTACCCCTCACGCTGACGCTGTCGCTGCCTGCTGCTTCTGTTTGACTCCCTCCATCAGCTCCAGCCTGCGTCCCTCATGCTCTGAACCCTCACTGACTCGCTGCTGCATCCTGGCTGAGGAAGGAACCTACCCTCCCCTGCCTGCCTCCCTGGTACAGACTACCTTACCTTAATTCATCGAACCTGCCGCCCTCAGCCAACCAGCACCTCACTGTCGGCCCTGCCCCTACCCACCCTGCCACTTCCCTCCACCTCCACCTCCACCTTCACCTCCACCTTGAACCTCCGTCTCCATCTCACGTCTGGCTCGTCAATCCACCCATCATTGTACCCTTTCCACACCTTCCTCTCACCTTCCAGTAGTCCTATCCTCAACACCACACACGCCCCCCCTCACGAACTCCTGCAACGAGCCCATCGATACCACCTGCACCAGCCCCAGCCTCACGCAACCCATCGCCATTGACCTAGGACAGGACGAATCTTTCCAACCACCGTCACCGCCGCCGCCATGGCGCGCAATCAGCCCATGAGCATGGAGGCCATGCTGGACGAGGAACGTAAGGAGGTCCTCGCCCTGCTCGAGGGGCGCTCGTCCCCCGAGGCCATTCGCTCGACCTCGCCCTACACGACGCCTCGGTCGCCCGTCAGGAGCATGCTCGACGTCGTCGACGATGCCGCCAGCACCTCGAGCAAGAGCCCGCCCCGCGTCGCCCCCATCCGCAGCATGCTCGACGTCGACAGCCCCCCCATGCACCCCGTGCGCAGGAGCATGCTTGACATTGACGTCCCCGCCGCCGGCCGCGCACCCAGCGGCCCCAACTCGCCCGTCGAGTCGAGGTCCTCCTTCCAGTCCAACCGCGCCCCCGCCCACCACCTGCGCTCCATGTCCGACACGAGCTCCAAGCCCAGCTTTGGGCCTCGTGCCTCCATCGGCGGTCGCCTTGACCCCACCGCCGGCTACCAGTTCTCCGACATCAACACGAACAACATTGGCCAGGCCCTGCCCAAGAGAAACACCCAGGCCGCCAAGTTTGGCGCCTCGTCCTCGGGCAACGTCGGCAGCACCAACGCCATGGCCGAGGCCCTGCGCGGCAGTGATCTCTCGAGCATCATCCTGCCCACCGACAGGACGGGCCGCCACGGCTCCATCTCTGGCCCCTCGGGCCGTAGAAGCTCCAGCAAGAACAACACAAAGTCCAAGTCGCCCCACGGCAGGATGGGCTTCCGCTCCCCCTCGCCCAACGTCTCGGGCCATTTCCAGCAGATCCCCGGCACGGCGGTCCTCGACGACGGCCGCGTCGTAGACATTAGCAACGCCTACCGCAAGCTGTCCGACGCCAACCTCGCCTTTTCTGCCGGAAGCCTTTCGGGGCTGGCGCATCGCAAGTCCAACGCATCCGACAATGCCAAGAATGGAAGACTGGCCAAGGATTACCTGAGCCCAGACGGTGAAGATCTCGAGGGACAGCAGCGATGAGGAGCCGAACAACGACAGCTCAGACGACGAGGGGCGCCAGAGGGCGCAAGCTCTTGCCAGGAGTCTCGAGATGCCAAGGCTAAAACGACGCAGCTGCCGCAGCAGGGCCACAGCGACAGACACGCAGTCTGCTGGCGGCGGCCGAGGAAGAACGTAAGTGACGCAGGCATACGGGGTAGGTCAACACAGTGTGCTGACGTTCATCCAGGTATCGAAGTGTCCACCAATCAGCCAAATCGACAGCCCGGGTACAGGTCACTCTTTGACGAGCCCGAGATCACAGTCACGGGACCCAGTGGCGAGAGGGCCAAGCCTTCCAAGCCCGGTGTCCACCCCTCAACAGCATTCGACCAGAGCCCGACATCGGGCCCGCCAAGCGCTGTCGACTCTGACGAGGAGGCAGACCTGACGGACATTAAGCGAGCACAAAAACTGGCCTTCTCCATGACACCCGTCATCTCGACGCCCGACTCCCACCGCACGATTCGCATCGTGTATCGAGGTGAATTCGAGGAGCTCGAGCGCGCGGCGGACGAAGAGGGCCGCACGTTGAGAAAGTACCTCGTGGCGACCGATCTCAGCGACGAGTCGAGCCACGCGCTGGAGTGGACCATTGGCACAGTCCTCCGTGACGGCGACACGCTCCTCGCGATCTATTGCGTCGATGAGGAGACGGGCATCTACGCGGACGAGAATGTGCTGATCCCCGACGAAGTCAAGGCGCACAAGGAGCAGGCGGCGGCGATCAATGCGGTGACGGCAGGCAAGGACGGACAGGGCAGCGCGAATCCGGCGCCCATCTTCCCGCACATTTCACGGGCGACGGCCTTGGGCTTCGGGTCTAGGAGCTCGTCGCCGGCGCCGGCCAGCCGGGACAGGGGCAGAGCGGAGGAGGAGCGGCAGCGGGCGGTGGAGGAGATCACGGAGCGGGTGACGAAGCTGCTGCGCAAGACCAAGCTGCAGGTGCGAGTGGTGGTCGAGGTTCTGCACTGCAAGAACCCGAAGCACCTCATCACGGAGGTGATTGACCTCGTCAGCCCGACACTGGTCATTCTGGGCAGTCGGGGCCGCAGCGCACTCAAGGGGTACGTCTCAACCATGGTGGCACGCTGTTTTTTTTTTCTTTGTTGCTTCCACTAACGTGAGGCAGCGTCATTCTGGGCTCGTTCTCCAACTACCTCGTCACGAAGAGCTCGGTGCCGGTCATGGTGGCACGCAAGCGGCTGAGGAAACACAGCAAGTACAAAAAGGGGCCGATGGGCCAGGTCAACAACCTCAGCAACCCGGCGAGCCGCAGTCTCGCGAACGCCAAGATCGATTAGAATGGATACGGGTTTCCGAGTCGGCGGGGTCTCGTGGCAGCACCAGGGCCAGGCGTGGAGGCAGAGGCAGAGGCCGAGGACGAGGCAGGGACAGGGGGAGGGGCAGGGGCAGGGGCAGGGTCATTCGCAGAGGCAGACGAAGGGAGGCCAAGGTCAAGGCGGTCATCGTCTCTGCGCAACAAGAAGGCAGAGCAGGAGGCGCATGCGGCAGGGCAAACGCACGCAGAAGATATGACTCGAGCGCACGCGAGACGCCGAAAGTCGATGCTGTGATGGCCAGTGGGGGGGGGGGGCAGGCAGGCAGGTGGGCAATCAGAGAGAGATGAAGACAAGAAGAGCGAGGAAATATCCTGCAGCGACAGCGCTTGCGGCGTTTGGGGATGATGGTTTTGACGGGTGTAGGGGGCAAAGGGAACCAGCGAAAAATCCACGATTATTCATGCCATGACCATGCCGTACCCAATCGGGTATTGGACAGTAGCAGTCTGTTTTTGTTTAAGTGGTTGCAGCACGTCGCGGGGGGTGTATCGTGTCGTGGGCGATGTTTGGGTGTGCAGGCGCGGGGTG